AGGATGAGGATACTCCCAAATTTGACTTCTATTATTATTATTATAGAGAGTAAATTATTCAATAATTTTAATGTTTCTATAAAATCTAAAAATATATATAATAAAATAAATATTAAAAACTAAATTATAATAAATTCCAAACTTCAAAAAAATAATTGATAAATTACCCTATTATTAATTAATAATTGTGAATGCATTTGCAAGTTAAGCGTCTGTAAGTATTGGCATGGTTGGAAGTCATAATCAAGTTGCTTGAAAAAGGTCCCAATCACAAAAATTCATTTTTTTTCATCAAAGTCAGATATTAGATTTTGAATTTACTTTTTCACATGGGTATGATATTTTTGGGATATTATTTTTTTAAAAAATATTATTCGTATAAACCATTGAAAATTTTATGATTTATGGAATTAAATTTTTAGAATAAAAAATTCAATAAAATTGGTATGGTAAAGACAAAAATAACGGGGATCAAGAAGTCACGAGCTTCAAATGAAAAATAAAAATTGTGTTACTCTAACCGGTTAAAAGTAGGTTGGGTTGAAAGAAAAGCAGAGTAAGGAGTCTGAGTGCCTGAGCATTCCAGCACCATGTCCATGCTTCACGGGATATGATAAAATAAATTTGAATTTTACAATTTTAATTGTTGCGCATTATTTTATTAAATTATAAATATTATTGTTAACTAAATAATGTTGTGATTGAATAAAAAGACCCATCCTAGTTTTATTCTCAAATTTATTAAATTATTTATATAATAAATTATTATATGTAAAGATCCGAAAATAAAAAATAAATAAATTTATATTATAAATACGGAAGCAAATAATAATATTAGATTTAACATTGCTTACACAATAAATTAAAATGTCCAATAAGATTACGAAAATGTTCATTTCTACGAGAATGTCGCCTCAGCCTAGCTGGTTTTGACCGATTTTACGCGTACCCCTGCAGAAAAACACGTTAGAGGCATCGGTTAGTCGAAAAATACCAAAAAACACCGAACATACCAGCAAGGGGGGTCATCGAATGTGGCAGATCCGCCGATTCTTCTTCGTGGCTGGGGTTCCTTCTCTGCCTAACCTGTATAGAAAATAACGATGATCACAGTGATCGAAAAATTGCGTGAAACGAGAAATGAAAATGGACTCATCGGAAGAATTTTTGGGTTTTGGTCGCAACGACTCCGCCGCGCTTTGCCCACAATTTTCGGCTCACCCATCGTCCCTCTTACTCCGATTTAGCCACAGGGATGCTCGAAATCGAATTTTGAGCGATAATAAATTTTTTTTACCTCTTTTGCCAGCCCGCAGTGACTTCGGTACAGCGGCGATCGACCTCCTTCTCCGGCGCATGGTTCTTATTCTCCGGCAAGGGCTAGCGGTTAGGGTTTGGACTCTCATGTGACATGAAGTATTTATATGCATCTCGCATCGATCTGGACTATTCATCACGATTGATCTTTTCCGTCCGATCGTGTCTAAGGAGAAAACGAGTCTAGACCGTCTATCGCAATTTGATCTCAACCGTCCGATCGTGCCTAAGAAGAAAATGAATCCAGATCGTCCACGCACATGGAATCGATCCTAAGTCATCTGATTGCGGGGCATGTGGATCGCCCACGTAGCCTCCTACGTGGCACCGACGTCAGTGTGCCTTGTCACACGGCATGCTTCGGTTTGTTGGAGCTGCTGACTCAGTTTTCTTACGTGATCGAACTTTTTTTATTTGTATTTTGACCCCATATTTCTAATTTTTCTTTCAAAAATACCATCCAAACCTAAATTTTTACTCATTTCTCCCAAAAACTTTCAATTACATCCCTACTTATTTTTTAATAATTTAGTAAAATTAAATTATAATTAAATTATAATTAATTTATAATTAATTCTTTATTTATTTTTTTAAAATACAAAAATTAATCCCGGACCAAAATTCGAGCCCAGGTATTACAACTCTTCCCCTTTTAAGAAAAAATTTGGTCCATCAAATTTGTTACTCTCTCACTTAGTCAAATAGTTGGAGATATTAGTTTCTGAAGTCTGATTCTGTAGGACTAGAAAGAAAGAAAAAAAAAATATATATAATAAATAAATTTCTAATAGGTAGGAAACGACGTCGTTTAAATAAGAAAAAACGACGTCGTTTTGAAAGAAAAAAAAATGACGTCATTTTGGGATGAAGAAAACGACGTCGTTT